TAACACTTTTATTATTATGATTATGGATAACGTTAGCGAAATAAAAGTATAAATGTAAAATATAAATAACCACACTGTCAACGAAGTGACAGGTTATACACTAGTTGATTTTAAAAACATAAGGAGCAATTTTTTCTCCTTGAGCTTTTTTGAGAATGCTTCTAATGGTGCTGTAATTCTTGGGTTCCATAGTGGATTTAATGTAAATTAGTTTCATGTTAATAATAAATTTTTTTTTTATATAGAGATAATTCTATATTAATATGTAAATGTATTCTAATGGTGCAGAAAATTAAAATAAAAAATAATTACGGAGTATCGAAATATAAATTTATAAGTTTTTATGGTTGAAATCGCACATGGATATAATAAATCTCGTGATCAAATATTGAAAATCTTTCATGAAACATCTGATCGAGCAGAATATTTATATAATCAGGGTTTGTAATATGCTACATGCAGAAAAATTTTCAAAGCATTTAATCATTTCTATCCTGAATTAGAAGTGGGGGGATACTTTTGTATATCTATTTTTTCAAGTAGACGCATAAACGCTATTTCTTAAACTTCGTATCGTATTTGTGGAGGCATAGCTTTTGACTGTTATCATTATATTCCAGTAAACAACACCTTTATGAGACTACTCTAGTGGAATTCATATTAGTATCACATCATATTCCTTTCTTACTGAATTAAAGCATTTGATTCGTCTCCCTTCCTAGATGTCAACCTTAAATTAGCAATTGATCAAAGAGATGAAGTCTTGAACATTCAAATACCTTCTGGGCTCGCTTCAGATCTTCTACACTGATAGTTGCAGGAATCAATTCTCCCTTCTCTATCAAAAGCCTCCTCATAACTCCCGGCAATAAGCCTGACGCGGGAGGAAAAACGGTTTAATATGAATATTCGGCACGATCACTGAATATGTTTAGACACCTTACCACATTCAACGGCGGGTGTCTTCCAAACAGATTTCCCGTCTTCGTGATACTCGACAGCAATGTTTGCTATAGAACATTCTGTCACTTGATCCTGTTCGTTGTAAATAACAACGTCAAATATTGGCAAAGAAGGAAATCTACTGACTGCCGCAAGAAATCACGCAACAAGATAGGTTAATTGCAACAAAAAAAAAACGTTAACGATATTAAACTTTTCAACGATATTGATTTCAAAATCAAGCAACTGTGCAAATACTACCAACGCGTCGTTTTGCACTTTCATAAACACTTCGATGCGTTGTCTTATGAAGGACAAACGGATTATTCATCGTCGAGGTAGGAACATTATCCAGGCTTACGTACAATCGACCTTTGGATCCAGAAATGACATTCAGATAAAAGAAAACTAAACCGAATTCTTTCAGAGGATTTGAAACACAAACCCGGTTGATTGACGTTTGGATTTATTACAACGCTTGTTGCACGCGTCGCACCATCGAAGGCAACTGTTAGCCTAACCTTTAAATTGTATATTGAATGCTTGTTCTTATAAAGGCTTCCACGAGAAAAGCATAATGTCGCAATGCTTTAAAATGAAAGCATGCCGCGAAAAGTGTATCCTGAAATTACATACTCGTTGAAAATTATCACGATCACAGGCTTCAACGGCTCTTTCTAATTCTGTCTCAACGACATTAAGAAAGTCAGACTTAAGACAGGCTTGAAAGTTGTCGCTATTCGTGTATTTTATGAAATATTTTGCTGCTTCAATGAGTCGTTCAAGATGGTATGACAACAAGTAAAAGCCTTTATTTGGATTCGGGAAAAAAGTTTGAAGTGGGTCAGCAAAAAACCGATCATTCATTGAGGAAATTAAGAAATTAACCTGATTGCGGCTCATAGAGTAAAGTTTCCAGCAACTCAAACGCAGGCAGATCTTCCATACTAGTTGGTGATTTAATACGTAATTGAAAACAATTGTGGAGACGAGCAATCAGTGTGTAAAATGACAATGGCGCTAAAACGTATAATGAAATAATGGCCTGGCCTGGTCATATAGGGTTTAGGTGCACATCATTCTTGATTATCAAGTGATCTTGGTGATTGGATGACATAAACTGAACAAAAAAATGCAGTCTTCTTCACTATCCCTGCATGTGGACATGTTCAGGCGCACGTGTTTGACTAATAATAACAAAAAGTGCGTTGTCATTTGGAGCTCTTGTCCATAACAATGGTGCTTGGTGAAGCAAATACCCTATCTTCCAATCAATGTTTCTGTAAATAGCCGAATTTGCTATCGCTATTCACTGCAAAATATTCGATTGGTCGAAAATTCATCTCATGTATTTTGATCTCATTATCATATCGCTAGATAATCTTTCAACAACAATTTATTTTTCAAATCGCTCATGTTTTTCATCATTGTACAAATTACCTTCGTTCCCTTCTAGCAATTTCCATCACGCACCCCAATACTATCTTGTTGTAGCTGCTTCTTTAGCGCTGCCTCGCAATAGCAATTGCTGATTGAAATTTTCTACTTTCTCTGAAAGCGTTTCGTACGCTAGATCAGGCAACGAGACCTGGACTCTAGAGTCTTTTTGAATACCGCAACTCGTAATCATTAATGTTTTTCCCTCTATTTTTTCTGAATCTAACAAACTTAAATCATCCAATTTAGTGATTCGTTTAGTATGACTTTTTAACAACGGTGGTTATAGTGCCTTTCGCGCAAAAAGTAATTCTCAAAAATATAGATAATTCAGGAAAAATGCTTAGCCATTTATCCATTATTCTTCTTTGATTTTCCTTAGTCTCGCATTCTACAGAGACTAATTGACTTTCGACACGAACAAACAAGGCAAGTCTTTGGCTTCTAGTCTTGCGCACCATGCGTAATGCTTAAACTGGATTTAGAGAAAACCGCTTTCTAAAATGGCGTGGATTTCTGAGACGTATGCTCGCACAAGTTATGTGTCTACTGTTAGTTTCAATTCTTATTTGAAGTATTCGATCAATAAAGCGTTGTCGATTTCGGCTTACAGGTGATGCTAGAATCAGATTTCAAATTTGGAAATCTCTAAGGTTTGATTTAGCAAATATCAATTATAATTATGCGGCACTTCTTGAGTTTATTCGGTATCAGATCGTACTATATCAATCATGTAGGCGAACATCATATTAACGAGTTTGCGTTTATAGCTGGCTGGCCAAGAGACATAGGGCGATCTAAATGGTATACATCATACGCAACGTTGATCAGACATGGGAAGAATATGATGCATTTTAACTGGCACGTTATATTGTTTCAGATATTTAACATATGATATAGCATGTGGAGTCAACAAATGCCCTCAATAATCAATGAGAGTGTGAATGACGCCAGTTCGAAATATGACGGCGAAGGACTAAGAAATACTGGTCTACTAGTTGCTTTTGATATTATCATCGCATCATTGTACTGAAAGTCATGAAAAGAAAAAGGACTGTTTGTAATCACGCATACGTTGTCAGGACAATGGGCTTTACAGTTCTCTGATAAATCCAACGTATACGTGCACCTATAAGACAGATGGATCCTGCTCGATATCATTTCCGACGACAACCGTTACATCCAAAGACTGTTCAGGTTCGTACAAACAGTTGTACTCTGGCCTAAACGTTGCGTCTGGTTGCGGATAGTAACTATAATTGTACGTCTGTTCGTGTAATTGCCATTTGGAACGACGTCGATTATAGTCCTTGGTCAACGGCTCGGGAGCATTAGGAGGAGACAGATGACAATCTCCAACTACCAATTCAGCTTCTAGATTGTATGAACGCATTTCATTAACTACACAACGTAACCACCCTCTAATCAATTGACCGGCATTCACGGCCAGAGGTTCTTTTAGCAATAATCTGACTTGCTGCCAATGCGTCCGTTCGGCCAAAGGACTCGTTGTCATGTCAATTCCTGTGCCAGGAAGTCCAAGCGGTGAAGGAGCAAAATGTAAATCAAACCAACCGGCTATTCCATGAATTATTCCTGTATAATTTGATTGCCATACAAATGGTATGACAAAGTCTTGAAGTTCGCTCAATGTAATCGTGTAGAAATCAATAACATAACCCCCAGGAGTTGATGACGCAATCAGCGTGCGAGGATCAAAGCTGCCAACAATAGGCATACCTTAACGTGGCAATTGTGATATCAATATGGCGTAGACCAAAGTAATACAATTATTACATCCCGTAGAAGCATGCTTGCTTACCAAACATTTCATCCTTGGCATCATTATAAAGCGCCGATAGATCAACACCGTAGAACGAGTTCTGTTCCCAAAATCGTGCTTTACCCATGGTATCAGTCCACAAGGCAGCATCAGTAAAAGGTGCCAAATGTATCATGCCTGTTGCAGGGAAAAGATTTCCGCCCGGTTTAAGGAATTTGTCTCTTGCGTACAGAAAGCTTTCTAGCTGCAAAATCAAAAATGGGAACGATTAGAATAAAAACAAGTACGTTATATGATGACGTTATCAAATGTTAATATTTTTCCTTACCATCCTTTCGTGAATAAGCAAAACTCCGATCGGTTCAGAAACAATCGTATCCACCTTTGGGATAGGAAGATCCGGTTCCTCTATTTTGGCTGCATACAAGCAAAAATAACGCGACTCAAGCAACACGTCTTCGTTTGCTGACATCGAGGCGTCGCGTTGTTCTTAGCTCTACCTTGAATTATCTCTATCTTGTCCTTCAAGAACGCATTTTTAGCCATATTATGGTCCGAGGGCAGGTTGGCCGCATCGACAATTTTTTTCATTTTCTGTGCCATTTGAGAGGCTTCTACTGCATATACCTTGCGTGCGCCCGCTTGCACGGCAAAATAAGAGAGAATACCCGAACCTTACGGATAGATCTATTGTTACGATTTCACCATTCTTTTAAAAAGCATCTAAAGAGTATATATGAGGAAGCAGCAGAAGACGTACCGGCTCCAACATCTAAAACAAGCTTGTCTTGAAAACAGGTGGGCCCATTCAAGAGGATGGCCGAACGATACGTTGACGTTCGGACCGTGTCTTGAAGCATGTTTTGCTATTTAAAACATATTTTCGAAAGCATCAGAACAGATAAAAGTAGTCTGACAGATGGCATCAGCCTTTTTGCAAAACACGTACTTGGTGCTGAAGCATAGCATAGTATGAAAAGTATGCTGGATCGCGCTGTTCAGTTGAAGGTAACTGACCGTTGGACGTCCCTGCTGCGTCTTCGGCGGAAGCGTTGTCTGGATTTGACAGCATGACTGATTACGTTCAGAACTCGAACTGTTCTCTGTTGCATTAAAAAACATTGACGCCACAGAAACACTTCAGGGGTTAATCCATAACGTGATCATACAGCAGTCTGCATTTATGCATAACGATTGTAGGAAATATGATAATAGTAATTATCAGGGCATCTTTCTCAACAGCTAGATACATGAGAGCAATTGCAAATTTACAGAAATATTGTAAAAGAAAGCACTCGGGGCAAATCTTTCAAATTCAGTCATTCCCGCGACAGTATGAAGAAAGCCAGTGTGAAACCAACGTTTAGAAAGCAAGTGGCAATTTTCAAAGTGTGGTCAATTACAACCATCGAACGAGATCCAAAAGAAAGTTTTTGGCACTTAGCATTAGTTACGATTCCATAATATTACTTTTTTCTTGCTTCTGAAGTAGAAGCAGCAAAAGCAATGATTGCCACCCATCGAACACGGACGCCGTGGCCAGTCATCGCGTTCTGCACATACTTGCAGTGTTGATTGCCTGGAATCCGCTGGAACATGCACGGATGACGAACCTTTGCTAAAACGGCGGCCGTCGTGTGATTCCTTGGGCGATATGTTCACCAGGGAGGGCAATCAGTTTGAAAACAATGATAATATCAATTATTATTATAATTATTCGTTGTGAATGTCACTGACAAGTGAGTTGTATTAAATTATGTTAACCTGCCAAACGTTATTTACAGTCTTATAGTATGATCGAAAATATTTACAAAATTTAATGTTAAAGATAGAAGCATTCATCTATGGGAGAGACCACAAATCAAGATATCTATCTTAGTTATGTTATAAACTCTTACGAATGTAAAGGTTTCACTCCGATGTAGAGTGAGAGAGATACAATAAACCATGCACTTAGTGTGGGCCAAGTTATTCTAAGGTAACGACTAAATGTGTCTTAGCAAAGCAAAACCAGTATGGCAATGTTGGATGTTTAAAAATTGCTTTCTGCTCATTTGTAATGAGAGGACGACATAACCGTATTATTAGACCGTTACAATAATCTTGTTGAAGTAACTTGGATATCCCATGCTGGCAACCGTTGTAAGTTCTCTATTTTTAAATGTTCAAGTGCATTATAAGCCAAGCTTAAAGTAGCTTTAGAGGTCCACTTTAGTTGCGCTAATAAAGACACGAAATCAAAGCCAAGTTTACTACCTCACTGCGTATGTAGCACGATAATACTGTTATAAACTCCGCCATACAACTCAGCTTTTTGGGGCTGGTTTTCTAAACATTTTAGGCTGTAGAGCTCAACCTAATTAGTACAAAATGGTAGGGCCGGGGCTCCGTTAAATGTCTGAATGGCTTTGCAATGCAATAGAAAAAAAAAGGCTAAGCAGATATAAGCCTTTTGGCTTTACATATAATGTCAATAACGTGGCGCGGGGTTGATCAGAATGTGATACAGAAAAGCAAACCCAAAGATTCTACTTATCCGCCCTACTCCCTTCCCCCTTTTTAACCTCTTTTCGTGTTATCTTTCCCAGTTTTCTACTTTTTAATGTCAAATTGGTACGTTAAATGAATAAGCCGACCTCAAAACCAGTTGATTAGTCTAAATAAGCGGTTTAACCAAAAGAATTCACCGAGAACAAAAGGTCAGCTTTCTCGCTCAGCGCCTGATCAACTTTTTCAAAATGACTAACGCTACTAATTGCAAACACAGATCACGCCAATGGAACAATTCGACGACACACAGAGCACAGGACCTTCAGAGTCTCTACATACCATACCAATTTATAACTTGGACGCGTCTTCTTCCGATAGTGATAGCGACGAAAATGCTCCAGCGCCGACAACTCAGCAAGGCCAATCAATCCTTTCTAACCGCCAACCAGTACAAGTGCCGAGTCGCTCCTTCACCTTGCCAGCTCCGCGTCTACATGACCACAACGGATCTGAAATATCCGGAGCCGCGGAATCAATACAAACTCGTCCGAGTGTAGACGAAGAGTACCTGTTTGAGGAAGAAGATAGCGAAGAGGAATATCGTCCGGCGGTTAGAAGACCAGCAGCACAGACCGAAGATACGAAAGGGATGATTATGACTGGTGTATTGTCGACTAGCCCTACTCCAGGATACGGGGCAAGAAGCATGGGGGTTAGGCCGGATGTTGCAGCAGGAGGATTGGCAGTACCTACAATAAAATCAAGTACAACAACTACGAACATTGTAGAAGTACCTGAATTAACAACGAGGAAAATGGATGGACATGGACTACGGCAACTGAATTTACTGGGTTCTGCGGACAAGAACATCACAAGTCGAGAAGTGACTAGTGCATCAAAAATGGAGAAGGGAATTGGAGGCGGTATTGGAGGAGGTGAGTTTTTTTACAGCATCATATAGTTTGTTGAGCATTAATTTGTTGATGGCCATTGATTCGGTTGTGTTTCATTCACATGACATATTTCCACACGCTTTTCGTTCTCTTTATGACCATCAACCAACTATTGCCTAGTTCCACCAACGCATCAATCCGACGTCAAAAAAGAAGTTTCCATACAATATCGTAACCCATCAGACGATCCATATCAATCGAAACGACGTTCGAAAGAGGAAACCTATCGCGACTCTTATCGCGATTCTCAATACCACGATTCGGCAGACCTTTTACCGCTAACGCTCGTAAGCGGAACATCAGCCGGCGGAATGTCGTTTTCATCCAACTACGCCTACCTCAGCCCTCCCTTCGGTCGTACCATTTCTAGAGCCCAAATCATGGCTCGTGTTGCCTGGTTCTCGCAGCTGTTTGCATTCAACATCGTCTATGCATGCTATAGACTTCTCTCCCGAGAGACATCGGAGGCAGGTGAAGTGGTGGAAAATAAAAACCCGGGATTGAAATTGTTCGGCTGGGTTATTGTACCGGTAATATTTTTGCTCGTCTATCTTGGCATTGTTACTTTCTGGACGGCCATCGAATTGAGGAGCAAAGGATTTTATTCAGCGTTTACCATTTTTTATTATTCGCCATTAATGGTGATTTCTTTGTTTTTTGGAGAGAAGAAAAGAGTTGATGTGTCGGAATTTCATGAGGTTAACTATGGGGCCAAATGGTGGAGACTTGGAACTGCAAGAGTGCGAGAGGGGTTAGTTATGACCGTGTATTGTTTATTTATTATTTCGTTAGTGCTGTCGGATATTATTGGACGTGCGGTAAATTCGCCTAATGGACAGGTGTCGTCAGTGTTTCGCGATTTTGTACCAGTTGCGTTCATGTTAGTTGTATATTTCCTCGGATTCGTCGTTTCTATTTGGGGTGTAGTCGAGGCTATGGTTGGTCCGGGCGTTCACGGAAGCGGGGAGGGTAGGAAGAGGTTAGTTGGGGTATTACCTACTGCATTTAAGAAAAAGGCTGGTTAAATGTACTTTATTAGATTTATTTTGTAGACTGTAGATTTTTGTTGTTTATTGCGAAGACTTTTTTCCCCTTCTCTTGTACGTTAAGCGCGCGATGGATTTCTTTCAAACATGTAAATGTTGTATTTACACAAGAAATGAGTGATTTGCTGATAAATCAATGTGAATATGTAATTAATTGATTTATTCGTGAATCATTTACAGTATATAAAACATTGAATATTTGATGCTGTAAACACATTGGGGTGGCGGTAAAGCCTGGGAATATTTCTCACGAGAATAATAATCCCGAGATGTTGTTAGTTCAGAATAATTAGGAGAATGATTATAAACTTCACGTGTTCGTCTACAAAGTCGTTAATTACGAGATGTCATCGAAAATTAGTTGCCAGTCGCGCAAGCAGATACGCGTTGATAATTATTGTGGCGGATTAAAACGAAATCGGATTAAAACGAAATTTTGGGGTCTTTGGGTTTCCTTTTAATGCCTTGAAACCCACATATACTCTTTTACTAACAAATGGTATCCCAAATACTAACCCAAATTCCCCAAAAAAAGGCTAAAAATTATCCCCCAAAAAATTTTGTTTTAATCCGATTTCGTTTTAATCTGTCACAATTATTACCATTTTTCGGTTCATTTATACAAAACAATTATTATTACTGTATGTCTTGCCCGTTAAGATAATTATGTATATAGCAAAGAATACTGTTAGCAAAAAAATGCCAATAAGGTGTCCACAATTTCTGAGTAGTTGCTCAAAATGCAGTTTTTAACGAGCACACGAATAATTTGCTTCTAGTGTGTCATGATGAGCAATTGCTCTGTACATAGTACAATGCTCTATGCCATGCTCAACTGACATGTATAATGAATAGTAGTGCGCGTTCACACGTTACGGCCAAAAGCAGTTTCAATTGTTGAGTGGGGTAGCAATTCTAATTCAGCAAATATACGAGTTATGGCTGCTATCGATAGGCTCATTTATTGTATTGGCAACTGGAAAAATTGAAAGTAAAGTATATATAGTTTCAGTATATGCGCGTGCTTAACGCTTTGTGGTTATGTTGCACATGAACATGGGCATGTCAATAGGTATGTCGTCGATACAGTTAACAGCACTATAATTATCGTACTTGCGACAAGACTAGTGGCTTAACATGACGTTAAAACAAGTTAGACAAACAAAATATATTCGTACAGCATGTGTGATTCCCAAACACTATTCTGTTAATGTGCTCGGAGAAATAAACCACCCTCCTTCCACACAATGATTGCTAATTTTAACAACCCTCGATCGCCCAATCTGATCTTGAAAGAACGCAATTAATTATAATGAATCACAAATTAAGGCAAGAAGATAATTCCTAAAGTATAAAGTCACATGATCAAACTATAATTATTTACAAACAAAGACTAATACTAAGGAACCCTCTTAATATTAAATTTAATATAATAATAAACAACAGACTGTTTTCGGTGTCCTGACATTTGATAATTTATTAATAACAACCAAAATAAACTTTCCAGAATCAAATTTCGATTAACAAAAAAAAAAGGCCTCTGAGCTTATGAGCTTTCGATATTTTGCAAGTTCAATACGTATATTCCCGCTCATTAAAAATAAGGGAGTATGAGTGTCATTTAAAGAAATGACAGGTATAGGAATTGGTTTACATAATCATTATATAACAACATGTCAAGACTTTATGAAACAGAGCGATCATAACGCCCCCAGAGTATATTTCAGGAGGTCATTAATAAGTCATCAAAGCCCGTAAAAGTCCGTGCCCTCTTTTCCCCGCGGGTGCAAATATGGCGTAGTTCTTTGTGTAGTTTCTATTGGCGATTCAGTAAGGTTCCAGCCACATATTGGTAGATCAATTACCATTATTTACTTTTATTTCGAGAGATGCTTTTGTGTAATAATTTACAGAATAACGAAAACAATAAACTAGTTTTTCTAGTCGGTTACTATTGACTTTTTTTTTTGTTCCCCAGTTCTTTCCAAGTATTTTGACCCATTCGAATACCCTTTTGTAACATTGCTTTTTTCCAAAATTGTAAAAAACAATCAATGATCTCAATTCCACCGCATTAACGGACGGGTAGACGACGCAGATTGAGGTGATCCATTCGTACAGTCGTATGAATCATCATCATCTGATAGTGCTACTCTCGGTGGACGTGCCAAGGTCATAGAAGATTGTATCTCCAAATTCCTATCTTCATTATTCAGGGTATTATTGTCTGTGTTAACTCTGTTCATTCCGCTTACAGTGTTCTCTACATCAACGTCTTTCATTTCGCCGTTATCACTTCCAACGGTCCCCAAGCTTGCCGTTCTCGGAATACTCCTAAGACTCATATTCCTTCCAATGCTCCTGATGCTTCTAATACTCCTAATGCTCCTAATACTCGCATTACGCCCAACGCTTTCACTTTCCCTCAAGCTTTCACCCCTCAAAGTCATGATGCTCGATCGCCTAGATCGCAACGACAATTCGTCGTATTCTGGCAAGACGCTGCCTCTTTCGCTCGTCTCGAATATCGTTCCGGACTCTCTCATTGCAGATTCCCTTTCCGAGACAACCCGTCCACTTACAGGATCCACCAACACCGAATCTCTGAGGTTCCCGTATGCCGGCGGTGGTATATAGTCCGGTGGACATTCTGGGTCAAAGACGTCTCCTGCGCGAGTTTGTCTTGCGCTAATTCGTTCTTGCAGCTCGGGATCGTTCCATGGTGCCCAGAGCGAGACGCGGGTCTCGCTATGGTTGCGTCTGTGTTGAGGCATGTATCTTTGAACAGCTCGCCATCGGTCCCAGATGCATATCTCAATGACGAAAATAAAGATAAATATTACATGAACCCAGGCTTGTTTGGGTTTCAGGAATCGCCAGACGCATATGTATATTATGACGGTGACAGTTGCGAAAATGGCAAGAAGCGTTTGAACTGTGAGGTTGGTGCTTTGTGAGATTGGAGTTGCATAGGGAAGTGGTGATTGAAGGGGTTGTGGGACGTCATCGACGGTATTGACAGACGGATGACGCGAGAGGACAATTACTGCACTTTGCCGATGGGGAAAGACTCTGTAGTGGTCCGGTATATTGGGAGGGATGGAGTTGATGGATGTTGGACTAGGTGGTACTTGTAAAGTATCGTGTGAAAGGAGTACTGGAGGTGGTGGAGTGAGCGGAAGTGATTGAACATTTGCGCCGTCGGAAGGAGGTTGTATTGTAACCGTAGTCTGGGGACTTTGAGAAGAAGAGGTTTGAATTGACGTATTGGTAACTTCGACCATTTTGCCGGGTATGGAAAGGAAACCGAGCTCGCTTTTGTTGCTTGAACTGTGTGCAGTAGCAGGGAAAGGTCGTATTTTTTTGTTCTCGAGGTCGTGTTCGCAAATAATACAGCTATAGTAAGAATGTCGGCCGGAGAAAGTACGGTCAATTTATGGTTTTGTAGTGGCGGTGAGATAAAATGTCGTTAAATAAAGTTACTAGAGTTGCTGCCTTTGCGTCGCCTGATATTTTAAATCGCTAGCCCTTCCTTTTCAAATCCCCTTTCTATATACAAAGAGTACGTCCGGCGTAAACAAGTGGTAAGAACAAGTCAGTTGGTAGCTATTATACGTATCAAGCTCGCTTCGTATGTATTTATATATGCGGCAATGGGCATATAACTCAAGTAAGAAGATAATTATTTGTAATATTTGATGTATTATGTGCAAACTGGATGTCGGGAAGTAAGGATAGAGATTGATTTACAAAAAAGCATAACTTTGGAAATTAAAGAAACGAATGTTACATTTCTTTTGGGTTTCTTTCTTTCGACAGCGACTAGGAAAGATGTGCCCAGCTCTAGGGCGGGGTTCGGGCGTACGAAAGAAAGCAAGTTTTTTTTTTTTTTAAAGAAATTCAGAAATTTAATTGAGACGAGAGATTATATAGGTGATATTAATATCTGAAATAATCCAATTATAGAAGGTGGGGGGAGATGTTTGAACCATGAACAGACTGTCACGAGTTTTTTAATGAATCACAGAAACTATCTATGGAAAAAAAACCCCATGTAGAAAAAAGAAGAGAGACAGCGAGACAGAGAAACGGGCCGCAAGAAATATGAACACTGGTGGAACCAGATGCTATGCTGCAAGAATGTGACTGTTTACAGCTCTGAAGTCTTTGCATGAGCCCAAGTACAAGTGAGATAATGCATAAGGTTGTGTAAACTATTGTACGACTTACTTGTTTATTGATGGCCATTCGATTGACAGATGATCCCTGCAGCGCCATAGTTTTAGTGACTTGCAATGAATTTCAACTTATAAATAGAGATGGGATATCGTATCTTTTCCTGTTTCATCCCTTTTTTTTTTCTCTCTCCTTCTCTCCGCTACTGCGAAAAAACGCCAAGGCGATGGCGTAGTCGATATGTACAAGTGATCGTTGAACCATCATCTGGTCGTGTGCATTGTAATTGTAATCGTTTTGTTGTACATTTCACTACAACAAACGGTCAACCTGTAGGTTATAATAGTAGAAAGCAATGACGGATAACCATACCGATTCAGTTTCTTTGACCAAATCACACACTGTGTCTTGGATAAGATCTCGTCTATGAAAGTTTCTACCGTTAACAATTTAGCAATTAAACATTCTTTATTGTCGATTATTTTATTGTTTATTTTTACGCCAGTCGACCGTTTGATTACAAATAGTATATGTGGCAAATCGTCTTAACCTGATATGTAATACCATATTTCAGATTTGGATTTACAATAAAGCATTTTCAGGGGACAAGCAAATCAGTTACTATACAACATTATTAATGTATATGGCATTAAGTTACACTTGATAACATTCTGTGTAACATAAACATACGAAACTATACGTTAATAAACGACCGTGCAAAAATAATGCACTGTTTCACGGGTCATAGCGGGCGGGATGGGCAGTTTAATGAGATTGTCACCGGAGAACGTTTAATTATTTGAAACGAGATGTGTCATATTGAATCACTGTTATTACCGGAAAATAATTCTTGCCCGGTGCACAAAATGTCGAGATATAAAAGTTTGATGTTTTCAATAGTCGGAATGGCAAGCAAATTAGATTGGTATACTAATATTAGACAAAGACAAAGCACAGATATGACTAATTATTTGTGAATCTGAGAATTCTTAAAATGTTCTCTGTTCTGTGTTCAGAGCCGTAATCAATTACAAATTTGTAACCCGAGCAAGTAATACAGTAACACTTTTGTATTATAATTAGTAGTTGGAGTACTTATGCTTAAATGTTGCCTATTTTATTAGGAGGCATTAGGATGCTCTACTAAACTTATAACAGCCTTATGATTATATCAACACTTTGCATGTTGATAAGCATGAGTCATGTAGTAGTAGTGCTGGTGGTGGTGGTGGCGGTGGTAGAGAAATAAATCAACAAGACAGAAAGTATAAGCTATGTGGTAAAGTTTTGTTTAAAAATAACGAGCTACAAGGTGAATCGTATACTTTCAATACGAGTTTGAATGTGGTTAACATATGATCAAACGAATCCTGGTTGTCTGAATTCGTTATACATAAAACATTCTTTATTTTGACAAAATGATATTGCTGCGTACAGGAAAGTTTTTCGAAGAAGAGGCGATCGTCAATAGACAGTTTTATAAGATTCATTCGTGGGCATAAAATAAAGTCCTTATTTTATATGATAAAGGTCTATACGTCAATACGCTATACTATACCGATAGATGGTTACGTGCCTTTCATACCATATTAACGATCATACAAGAATATTAACAAATTTCTGTAAAATTGCTTCCCTTTAGCTAATTTGAGGTTTACTCTAGAGTTTTAACTCCTTTTGCACTGGCACTTTTTCGAAATAGCTTGTCTCATGCCACAATTTAATTTAACTGTTCGAACAATTAGCAGACGTAATTGATATTTTACAGTAAGGTGTATAAGTAATTGACCCCTCGTAATTTGGAATAGGCATGAGCAAACGCTTTGAGCATATACAGTATAACATCTAGCAAACACTGATTACCTGTAAACTTTCAGCTCGATCGAATGTCCCCTGCAAATATTGTAAACACTCTATGGGCATATGAAAACTATCAAAACTCCTTGTCACTTATTCGACATAAATTCCAAAAATTTATATCTCCTCATGTTTATTTGTCAAATGTATCCTTAAGTGGTTGATATTAAATTGAAAGAAAATTGTCATTATAAACACGTGTGGTGTATCAATACGTATTATGCTCTACAAATATTTGCGTTTTGTAATAGCTATCATGTAACAATTTATTCAAAATATTGCAGAACAACAAAATAAAAAGTAGTTACTAAATTTGGTTTGAAATGGTTGATGTCCAGCAGCACCCGAACAACTACTGTGGCAACTCGCTTGCTTAGTGCGAAAAATGTTCGTTGCGCAGCACTTGAAAAGTGTCTGTGAAGACTAATGATCATGCGCCATTCGCTGTCCGTACATTATGGAATAGTAATTGGCTACTGCGGAAATAATAACGAAATAATCGAGCCAAGCAAAAACACGTATTCCGTTGTGATGACATTACTGCTCGATGCCAAGCGAAGAGTATTACAACACCGCTAAACTAAGTGATAGGGTTAAGCTTCCCTCCCTACTTAGAAGGAATAGTCCCGGTTCGAGAAATTCGCCTATTATATTACTATTATAGCTTTACTACAAATCCTAACCCTTTTAACTATATATATCTTTCAGTACATACTCTTACCAAAAAGAATCATTCAAATGGACTCGGGTTACAGTTACCGTTACGTTTTCCAAGGCGGTTTCTCTATTGAAAAATGGGAGACAGCCACATTTGGAATGGCGAAAACGACAAAAAAGGTCTTTATGATTTTCTACAAGAAAACGACGAGCTGCACTGGACCAAGCAATCAGGGACAAACAAATCCAAGATTTCAAAAGTAATATATATAGTACGTAGCTTTTTATACCTTTTTCTATGCATCAGCTGGTCACTTTTTATTCTTTTACGCAATTCTATCTCTTTCAGTAAATCTAATGGAGTATCAAACCTTAACCGAATTGCTAAAGGATCATCTTTCGACTTGGTAAGATCAATTCACCTTTGCGTAGGTAGTTACTTAGACGCATTGATAATTCATAAATCGTTAATAAAGCTCTACCCGATTGATGTGTTGCATTTATTTTCGACAATTTTAACATTAGATAATCAGGCAAAGAATATCCATGATCAGAATTATAACATTTGTGAAAATAAATGAGGTTATTTAGATCGATGAAAATAATAAAAATTACAATCCAACCATATCTTGCTGATACTCAATTTCGTAATATTTCAATTCATCCCCCACTTTTTCCTCCACCTCTAAAAAAACATTATCTTTGTTCATCTTTGCAGCAATGACCTTGACATAAAGTCCATCTTCGAGTTTGATTTTATGGTTCACAAGATGTGAAGCTTTGATCAATAAAGAACTAATTTTCTAAAATTTTAAGAGAGTTAACAACATTTTCCACTAAATACCACTTCACAAATAGATACCTTTGTTGATGGCTTTTTATCACTCTTATTTCTCTTCTTTGGTATTGTAATTGGGGAGTCATCCAAGCAATCCAGAGATTTTGGATTTCGATTCTTATTTACAAATTCTTGCGGACTATGAAAAGAGATGGCATTAGTTCTACTTGAGACTGTGTTTTTGTTTTATAATTAAGAGAAACAAAATGTCAGCTTACACTTTAGCAAGAAATTCCTCGAATTGAGCGCGAAATCCTATTACTATCTCTTCTGTTTTTTTTTTCAATCCATTTTGCACTCAAATGGATCCTTTCTATTTGTTTCTCATCTTCTCTGCAGAAAGAGACACATCAGCAAAGAGACCAAGAATAAATCACTTACTTGATTGGGTCAAAATTTCTGGCTTTACATTTCTCTGGGTCCAAATATTTTTGACCGTATATAGTAGTAGTTAAACAAGCATGATACTCTTCACTTGCTTTTAGGGAGTCTTTATAGATGTCGCCAATATCTGGTACTGTGAGATTTGTCCATAAGTATGTATAAATATCTTAGCAAAGTAATAGAAATTCACAAAAAAGTCACACACTTTCGTTTTCTCCTGGGACGCGAGACATTAGGAAAATTTGACTAAGCACAAATAACAGGCAGACGAGAGGAATGGACTAGACCGAAAGCGTTATGGATAAACAATGAGGAATGTTTTTGAATGATGGCGTTTATATATCGTCACGCCAAATTTATTGCCTAATAATTTTCCACGTGATTTAATTTTATTTACGAAGATCTGTTACAGTAACGTGACCGTCGCGACAGATTCTTTATTGAGAAGCTCATATAACACAAACGGGGAGTTATTGGGGGATAAAGACTGTAATAACAAGACCGATATTTAGATCGTGAGTATAAAGCGTAGTTTAAACATCACTAATCAAAGTATATCAATATATGTCACCCGCAACCAAGGGAACATTTGGTGTATCATAATAATATATACATGTTCTGTTTATTATTACAGTATATGATACCTGTGGTTTTGTCTCAGGTGGAGTTATGACCATGTGTAATAATGCTATTACTATGTATTTCCATTTAGTACACCCCCCTAAATGCACGTCATGTGATTAGATCTTTTGTAATAAATTTTTCTAGATATTAATATGAAATTTATAACAAAATTCGCGCATGCATTATGATATATATCCGGAGGCCGTCTGAAATTTTGCAGGGGTTATCAGCGTTTGTGATACTGTATATTATTATTTATACGCGGTAAAAATTTGTCAGGGTCAATTATTATTGTATATTGAATTGATCTACAAACTTCGAGAATGAGCGAGGAATAAACCCCGGATTAGATCGTTGCCGGTTCGATGACATTAGTAAAAAAAAGATAGAACATCTGAATCACATTCACGATATGAATAATGTTTTTGAAATAATGTTCCTTACATACAAAAATTTGTCACCTCAAATTGGCCTCGGGTATCAGTAATGAAGGCATAAATATTGTGGCAAGGAGCGTAGATTAGAGGAAGAAGAAAATGTCAATTTTATGGAGAACATGTGTCTTGGTTTAAAGATTTACAATATTTGTGGTCAACACTAGCAGCTCTCAATGACCATATCGATTTGAACATGATTGAAACGATAGCATCTTTTGGCTTGGAAACTGACTAGATATCTTACAGAAAGACCCGGTTAATGAATCCATCAACCTTTTGTGTAAGCATACTATTGAATAGATCGAATACGATATTCAAACAAATGTGTTATTATTAGAATTATAACAAAATGAAAGAAGAAAATATAAAAAAGCATAGTCGTATTTGTAAAAAAATCAATTTAATTGTTTATCTTTATGATGGCAACGTTTATATTGTAATTAAATGGCAACCGACGCACTGATAGTCGAAAGCGTGTGACTTACTTCATTCTTAAAACTATAGAATTTATATTCACTATTTTGTATGGGCGTGCAAATAGCCTGCTTGGCATCCCCTTTTGCCTGAGGAGTGGTAGTAGTTTTTACAAGTATGAAATTCTAAATGCGGAAGGCGAAAAACAGACGTTTCATGTTAATCGAGACACGCGCTAAATAGTGTAATGTTGAATTTATAATCGGTTAACGTTCTAATGAATTAACTCAGCTAAAAGTAGATGATGACAATAGTAAACCCATGGGATATAGAAAAAACTATAGACACCATTTTATAATCATAAGCGTTTAATAGCAGGCGTACTCTGATTTTTACAGTATGAAACACACACCTAGTGTCAGTCACAGTATGTCAAAAAAAAATTACATCGCATAGTAGTTAGTATTTTCGGTTTATTCCAAATATAGTTTTATTTACAATCTATTTTCTGTTAGAATATCATGAGCCGCTCGATGGGATTAATAGCTTTGCTCTATAGCTTTCTAGTGTTCTTTTTCACAAAATCATAACAAGTGGTAGCCAATTATTACTTTTATTATAAATGCTAAACAGTACACACACATTCATAAACATGGATGCTATATCCATGTATCCTCAACACTCTATCATCCATCCAGATGTCACCGGAATGATTACAGATTAAATGTTTTAATATTATAATGTCTATTAGAAAATTAGTGACAGTAAGATGGAAGTTTGAGCAAGGAACAAGGCCACTTGTTTGATGGACGCTGTTGTAGTAGAACGATTACAACCACCCTGACTCGTGTTGTTAGGACGACTGTTTCAGCTTTAGTCATTTGACTACCGCTACAGAAAGAACTCTACCGAGAGTAGCCATTATTTGGTTTTACGCCCCCCATCCAATGACTATCCGTTCGCCTTTTTATTTTTCCCAATCTAGTTTGCTCCTTTTCCGAGTCCAGTTGGCACATTGGTTTGGGAATAGTCAAGAGTGGTCTGATAATCGCCAATTGCAACGGTTATCACTGACGCTATATCAGTAACCAAATCTCCTGCTATACTCTTTAGTAAGCTGTCGATAGCGGTAGGCCCGATAATCAAATTCATGTCAAAATCTTTTGTCGTTACCACCTGCTTGGGTGGAATCACAACGGGATCACCCGTCAAGTCTTGATCCATGTTGCCTATGACAGTTCCCTTGACCGTGATAGAAGCTTTTATGTGAAGAAACTTCATAGTGGTATCCAGCGGATTATACGCATCAATCGACGCCGTCCCTTTCTGGTTGAATAACGTACCAAGAGAAATGGCAAACCGTGCTCGCACTATGATCGGCTGGTCAGTCTGCAATCCAGGTAAGTCTGTGGATAGATTTAATGTTGCCAATGCTTGTTGTAAAGAAGTGATGGGAGTAGACTTTGCTGATCCTTGTATGGCTACTGTGTTGGTCTTTCCAAGTATAAAGTTATCCAACAAGGTTCGTCCGGCAGCAATTGCATCCGCTCCTTGGGGAGCAAAGTTGGTGATGATTTGGCGAGTGTTGGAACCACGGTCGAGTGTAAAATTGTTCATTAATACCTCCCCGATCAGCTTATTTTGGAATAATAAGTCAAACGAGACATCGCCCATTGTGATCTTGACATTCGACGGACTAAATAATGTGACCGACAACTGAATATTCATGTGGTCAGTTGTTCCTCCCGTTACGCTCAATGAATTAATAACAACTGGTTTGGTCTGCAATCCTTGTAACCCAGTAAGAGAACTCTGAACACTGAGTTTGATCCCTTTTATTTCTACATCTCCGATAGCGGTACCAGCAATAGAAGACGCGGTACCTTTCATAAGCATCGCGACGGATGAATCTGTAGTAAGGTGCGTGCTGAAATCATTGAATGCCCCCTCTGAACCAGGGACGACAACGAGCGGAACAGGAGCAATGCTAGAGGTTAATTGACCAGAGGTGGAATCACCTTGTGCTGCTGCATACGGCGTGTTTAAATCGGCAAGAGCTTTCCCTCCTCCATATATAGTAATGTTTTGGGATATTTGCTTCATCGTCAACGGAAAGCCGAACGGGATCGAAAATGTGGCACCCAATGAGCTTGAGGACGCCGTCGGAGAGTATGCGTTGTTCGCTGTGAATACCAAATCCATAGTATTCAACGAAACTCCACTGATTATGGTCAGATTATTTGCACCTTCCAATACAACATCCATCCTGGTTCCCTGGAATGCGTTCTGCAACCAAGAAATAGGCGCTCCACCATCTGACGGTTTGACCAACGTTGCAACGACGGTCGTTGTAGCATTATCTCCTGCAATGTACTTGGAAAACATGTCACTGACCGCGGCAAGTCCGGCAGTTGTGTTCTGAGGGATCAACCGACCACTGAGTGTAAGAGGATTGTCGCCAGAGACGAGTGTTACGTCTGTGGCTGACACTTCGCCTACGGTTTGGTTCAGGTAGACAACATCAAAGAACAGATCACCCAGAACAACGCCTACAGGGGAGGGATTTACGAGGTTGGAGTCGATAACGATTGCTATGCCGCCTGATGGATGGTTCGATGGCGCGTTGAAGGACTTTATTGTGACTGATGGGAAATTATTCATTCCTGAGAAAAGAAGGAGAAAATGATCAGATCAAAATTAGGTATGAATTTAGGAATCTCATTAGCGTAACGTATATCCATTTACTGCACACATACACACCACATACACAAAACGCATATACACACACCACATACACACATACATACACATATACACACACCACATACACACATACATACACACATACATACACATATACACACACACGTATCATTCGCACTGCCACCCCTTTTTTGTATATAATAATTTACCTTTCATCGTGACATCCTTGCTAAGCTGAATTCCTGACAAACTCAATCCTGCAGCCTTAACATTAGCAGATCCTTCCAGATGCCATGTAAAATCTTGTTGCGTCAGCATAAACTTGTTAAACTGTTCAAAGGCCGTTTTATTGGTAACGGAAAACACCTGACTACTATCGATGTTTGCCCCAACAAACGGAGCCGCCGAGATCTCATCCAAAGGTAATCGACCTAATGTCATACCCTCCCACGTGACCACTACGCCATCAGGAACGTTAATTGTAGCTGCCATCGGACCGGTATCAGTGACTTTTCCGGAAACGGTCATTATGAATGAATCTTCAGTGAGATTGCTTAATTTTGCAGACGAGAATTCAAGTTTGCTTCCGGTAACGGCGCCTTGGGCTATCGCTGGCGCTATTACGTATATGGCTAGCGGAATTAGAATGGCCGCAATGATTATTGTAACACCGCAACAGACGAAGCAACATGCTTTACGACGGTTGCGAAAGAACGAGCGGGACTGTTTGCCGTTATTGTTGAGGTCAGCCAGTTGCTCGTCGTCGTCGTCGCCGACTTTTGAGCCCGGGGGTTGAGTTGCGAGGGCATTAGTGCTGGCGTTTGGTGTGTCGGGGAATGGGTATAATCGATCGTTGCTAGCTAGGGACGATGTACTGGTGGAAAAGCGGTCGTTGTCGTTGTTGTTGTTGTTGTATGGATTGGTAACGACACCACTGTATGCATCGCTATTATCGTTGTCAGCGTGTTCTGTGGGATAAGTCTCGGGAAAATTATTAGATTGACGAATGTAAGACATTTCCGGTTGTGTTGGCGGTGGATGAGTTGGGGGATAAGAATGTGCATCCATTTGTATAAATAGCTAAAAGAATGTGTGTTTTGGGAAATATGATGTATATAATACAACAAATTATGTTATAATATTATATCATAAATTATATGGGGCCTGCCCTTTACTATCGTGAGAATCAGCACGACAGCCAAAGTTAAAAGCTATTTGGGCAATTGTATGGTCTATCTTTTCTACTTAGTAAATGATGAGCGTATGTGAAAATAAAAAAAGATAAAGGGAGGGTTAAAAAAATCGGTTATGATCAGGTCCCTCCAGACGATAAGCGTTGAGGCGAAAGAATGTGTGTATATGAGTAGGGATGGTGGTTGATTTCAAAATAGAGAGGAGAATAATATGTACATGGCAGAGATGAATTCTCCATGTCTGAGGACGGCGTTTAATATATATATCGATAGATGGGGTTTGCTTCTTTAAAGCCGAATATCGGTCAAGTGTAACACGAGAGTGCAGCAGTACTTCAATGTATGTAAATAACACTATTATAGACCCTGACTTGCTTGTTGTACAATCGGTTATAAGTGAAACATAAGACATCATCTTGTACATGTTTAAAGTATTACCCTAAAAATGTTCGAAACTTTTATTTGAGAACAAGGCAATCATGTTTTCATGTGGAATTGTTTAGGATTCATGCAAAAATTAAAGCAAGGCGCTAAATGGAGAGAGTTCTGTGCAATGTTGCTATTGGATTAATGTATAGCCACAGAAATTTGTTTGCGAGTGTGAACCCGAAATATTGTTGATACTGTTCCAAACGTGGGCAAGAAAACCCTTTTTCTTACAATTCAGGATTATCATGTGACTAATAAAAAACTGTCAACGAATCGTATTTTCTCCGCTTAAACAACAGTCTAAATAAAGATATTATATTCACATGAAATAATCACCTCATCAAACGCCTCCAGGATCGATGAATGGATGGATGGATGGATTAGATAGATTTTGCCATGTTTTTTTGGTCAAAAGAACTCGAGTGCGTCCGTTTATGCGTGTCCGCCTGATTCAAACTAAATTATTACCAACGATTAATTTTATAGCACATGCAAGCTCGCCAATTTAATTTCTTTTCTCACAGCGTTGTCGAATTACAAAAGTTTAACTCTTGGGAACTGTTGATATTAACATCGTATGATCATGCTCATCAAGGTTCGCAACAATTAGACGTTTACACCTTTTCTGGTTTTTGATTTCGTTCATATGGAGAATATCGTCCTCTCCCCAAATTATACGACATAGCAATCGATAGAAATAGAACGTTTTTTAGTTAACAATTCTTGGAAATACGCATAGAGTTCTACATAACCCATGTGAGGACAGGATCTTTTTTACAAAATCTACTTTCAGGACATGTCCGATTTGATGAAGATATGCAAGATGGTTCGATCGTATGTTTGAAAAATCGTCTTTAGTATTAGTAGTATTGTTATTGGTTCAGCTATTTATTCGTGCGATAACTACTATATATTTCTTGCCATCATAAGTAAACCTAATTGACACTGACCGTCATGTCTTTGGCTAGTGCTAAGATCACAATTACCAATGAATGTTTCATTGTATACAGATCCATCAATTGAAAAGGAAAAACCCTTTTGTTTCAATACCCTTTCATTACCATACGTAGGAAGTATCCTTTTAGCGGCTCCTTACAGAGCAGTTTTTAAGTTCAATGCTTATTAATAGCGTGCTTAGAATAAGTCAATTAAAGATTGAGTAGAGCACATGTCTTCGATATCGAACTCAATCTTTAAATCAATGGAATACTAATTTATACAGAGAATACTCGTCTGTAGATCATCAAGAAAAAGTTAGATTATAATTCACCAGTTATAGAATTTTCTTGCCCCTCTGGATTGTTGTCCCAAAATGACATAATTACAGAATTAGCCGTGCCTTAACGTGAGCGTGTAAACAAGACTACACTCAGAATCGAATTTTGACCTTCCGAAACACAAACGTTAAACATGCTAATGATTTCCTTCAATTACCCAAGCGATGCCTATAATTTTGTTACTCTTGTTAAGAAATATTTTGAACAAACGCAAATTTGTCGCCCGTGGTAAGGGAGAACTGTGAAAAATTCCGAACTAATAGAGTGATGAACTTTGCCTACATTCTCATGCAAGTCAGCGAGATGTATTGTTGATCTTGAGCTTCGTTGCTTATCTATGACATGGACTGGTCCAAGAGCTAGAATACATGTACACTGATTACTCAAATGGAGCGAGAAGTGTATTGCGTACAGTGACTAGAGAACAATAGTTATGCGCAAAAGAAAGTATCGAGACACTATCCCGGGCGGATTCTTCGTGAAAGCAGAAGGCAAAATTTTATAAAGAAATTGGTACTCAAATTAAATAAGTGCATTGATAATCAAATTATTCTTTTCTGCCGGGTTAACCTGTTTAATATACTGCTAGAAGTTACTTTAACTTTCGCAAGGTGACTAGTTCAGCCTCCTTGGCAATACTCACTTTTTTTCAGCAACATGACGCATAGGAATAAAATATCAATATAAAAGAACAGCGTCTTTGTTAGCGCCTTTTTATAATTGTCCTTAACAGCTCCTTGCAAACGAGTTTGGTAGATAGTAGATTTACTATGTAATTGCGGACTTTCTTTGATACAATGTTATTTGCACGTAATCAACTGTATGCGATTCAGATCACAAACTTTGATTGGAAAATTATTACAATTGAATTATTTATTCTCGTATTCAAATGCTTCATTTTTAAGACAGGAAGTCGAGTTTCTCGCACACAGAATCCATATAAACTTGTAAATTTACTTTTCTATTGAGGATAATTCGCTGATCTTGGTGACTATTTATATTACCTTGAAATTTGTTTACACCTTAGAAAATGTAGGAAAAAATCACATTGTTGCCAAATAAAGATTATAAGTGTAGTCATAACTCGAAAATAAAATAGCTTATATATTTATTGAAAACATGAAGGCTAAACTTGAATTATTTTTATTATGATTAATATAACTAAAATTCGAAATTCTGATGACGGGATGCAATTTTGCTGGTGGAACTACACTCGTTTTCGTATTCGTACGGGTTTCTTTGTGATTTGCAATACAGAATATCTTTCAGTCTAAATCTCAACCAAATTTTTCTGATCATTAAGATTCATCCTATCAACTAGAAGAAAATTATGACGATTATCTAGTGTTGTGTCAAATCGATAAATATCTCCCTTACCATCAGGTAAAATTGATAGCACATTGTTTGAGTATAATGGCAAACTATTATGGCCTTAGGGTACTTATACTGAATGTAGAAGAGGAGATATACACCAAAAAATGTCTTTCCAATACCAGTACTACTATTCACAATATAACCCATGCAATAACTGTTACAGAACTGAGTAACGTTTAATCATGTAGAATCCAAGGTTCCACGCTGTAGGGCTTTCCGGTAAGCGTCTTCAGTGAACCTTCGAAACTTACCTTCAAACCCTTCTGCTCCACAAATAATACACGCTCGGAATTTCCATGTCTTTGAAGATCGTTTAAAAATTCCTTGTTCTAAACCTGTGGAATTACTTCTGTCAGAACGCTTAAACAGGTGTTTAAGAACGTGCAAAACTGGTTTGTCTTTTTTTTTTTCTGTACAGAACATTTAGCATTCTTTTGACACTTTAAATTGTAATCATATCCATTATGTTACACAATTATAGTAGGCGCGTCCTCGTAACGTGACAGTTCTTCTTACGTTGCTGCACTTTGGTACGAGGCTTCGCTCCATTAGCATATTGTCTTTGACCACCTTCGCTCTCCGCCGGCCAAGCCCTCACCGAATCTTTCGCGGTAAGACCAGGAGTGGCCAAATTTACAGCAATCCTTACGACGAGTTAATTCCGTGATTGTATAACCTGGAAGACAGGCCTTCCTTAATGAAGTTCTTAACGTACCGACTCCTATCAAGTGAATTGGAGGATGAAGAAACTGAGCATTGTTACTATTATCGTGAACTACACAAAATCAGTTTGCATTACACCAAACGCGAATTCTGATATTGGACGAAACGTAGCCAAGTTTTAAGGCAAGTATTCTCATTCTGCAGCTTACGGTAATTCCATAGATAATACTGTGCTGTTCCATCATCAACTACCCTGCTGGTTGCGGCTTGCAGTGGGAGACGTTTTGGCATGTTGGTGAGCACCAAATTGCGTGCCAGTGTGCAGACAGCACCTAGCAGACTACATTGTGAGTTGTGGCTTGCAATGGAAACGCTTCAGCTTGTCCGTGATTATGAGATACTTGCCGTTTAGGCGAAGCTTAATAAGTTCTCACTTTCAATCTTTTTGCAATCCACACAAGAAAACCAAAACTCGAAACAGGTAGGCAGTTCTGGGAACTCCATATTAATATGGTGAAGGAAAAAGCCATTTTAATTTTGGAAAACCAAACAACAAAAGGATATCTGAAGTAAGTATTTCAAATATCATGTGGTTTTGAGTTCACCAAACTACTAATTATCATACCCAAGTTGCAAATCAACACTCTATTGCACAAAGATACAGTCACCCATTCCACTGCAGTCTCAGAACTTGCACAGAATAAGATTGCATTGGCAATCTAAGAATCAGATCCATTTAACATTAACCATGAATGTGATGATTGCAACACTGCTGAGAGTGAGGGTGAAACCCAAGAAATGCAATCCATACAAACATATAAATACTATAGTAATAGTGAAAAGTTAGGGGAACAAAATCATGCCAAAAAGTATGAAAAGCCCTTTGAGAATAATCAACAAGAAGATTTCTGAAGATGAAATAATCTGCTGGCCATCTTATCATAATCAGGAATTAGTTTACTGGCTTAGTATTAGCTGGAGGACTAGGGTGAGCCTTTCTGTGATGGAAAAAAATAGCTGCTTGATAAAATTAATCTGCTGAAGCTGAAAGTGATGAATTTAATAGCAAAGAGGAGGAATAATTATGATAGTAATAGGTAGAGTTGCTGGAAACACAAAAAAGGTGTTCTAATAATGATTTGATTGTTTCTTGTAAGTCTGCAAGTCTTCTTTTCTTCCTTAGTTCATCATGTACTGGTGTTAATGCTTATTTATAGTTATTATTTTTTGTTCTTCTTGATAAATTTCATAAATAATTTTTTCTTTACCTGGAGAGTTTTGGTATGTTGATTTTAAAAACATATGGAGCAATTTTTTCTCCTTGGGTTTTTTTAGAATACTTTTAAATGTGCCATAATTTTGTAAATTAGTTTCATATCAATATTCTTCATATATATAGACATAATCCTATATTATTATAAAAATAATAAAGAAACGGTAGCAAAAATTTAACAAAACCTTCAAAGTAATGAAAAATCCAATAAATATTCCAGACAAATAAGATTTGAAAGAAGCAACATTTACTGAATTTGGCACCCCTGCAACATAATAATAATATTTAGTAAACATATATAATATATAGCATTTTAAATATTGAATTAGACATTCAAACACTGAATCAAACATTCCCTAATTCTTAGCGATAAATGGTGTCATTAATTCTTAGCGATAATAATAAATGGTGTCATACTCCAAACATCGATTAAACGTTGAATCAAAAATTAGAAGCAATTAAACCGATAAATGCTATTTACAACTACAACTGCCATGATTTGCAATATGCATACTAATACTAATATGACATTAATATGTTTTAAAGCAATTGTACTGTAGTACAAGTTTTTTTCGTTATTGTTATAATTATAATTATTATTGCCCGGAAGACTTATCACACAAATCCGGTGGTAGCACTAATGATCTGCGCCTTAAAAGCATAATTCTTGAGAACTTATCTCTATCAATCTGCTTCCGCTCTGGCGAAAGCAAAGAGACCAAGATCTTAGTAAATCTTAATAATATAATCACGGATACCCCGTTCCTATAGACACACATTTTGTAATAGAAATGCTGTTGAAGCACTCATGGCCATGGCCGAGGATCCTCAGAGGCGGCTTACTGTTACAGTTGTTCGTTGCTGCTATGCTATTCGTGTCTTTATCGCATGTTAAAGCGGATATCAAACTATCGCAGACCTACTTTAATAACATGCCATTGAGATTTTTCTATTTCGACGATTCTTCGGTGGGTTGAAATTAAACGAGCGATAAAAAACTGTGTTCATTAATTAGTATTGGCGGATCACGTTAAAAGAACAAGTTGATTTATTTGCCATATCTTCTGTTATTCTGGAGATCCCTAACTTTTAAATAATATCATTACAGGTTGTTATGTATCTTAATGACGAAGGCACTGTATTACGCTCGGAGGATGAAGGCGCCGTATGGAAAATAGTTGATGGCGTACCTGAAGGTGTTGCTTCAACTTTGATCCAACATCCATTCTCGAAAAGAAACGTAATTATTTCAAAAACCTGATTAATTTATGTCAATATGTACCGTTCGCGTTTTGTCGCAGCACTAATTTTCGGGTCATTCTTTAGGCATATATCATAACTGGCGGTACGACGCACTACAAAACAACTGATAGCGGGAAATCATGGAAAATGTTCACAACGGAAGTTGGACCATCAAAAAGGAGTACTGTTCTATCGTTCCACGCTGGCAGACCTGATTACATATTATTTAGAGGAACGAGATGTACGGACGGTAGTGGTTGGGGAGCTGATTGTGATGATGAGGTATATACCTTCACTATGCATGGATTATTTATATCATAAATTTTTAGCATCTATCTCACTTTGTAACAATACTGTCTACGCATGCATTTCTTTTTTTAAGACATATTATTCGCTAGATAACTTGGTCTCGTCAAAGTTACTTCTTAGTCATACCGACAAGTGCATTTGGGCAATGGCAACCAGAGATTCTGATGAGGCACCGGCCAAAACCGTTCTCTGCATAGAATATGGACAACCTGTTGGCAGACTCCGTGATTTTTCTGATTACCATTTAGTACGCTTTACCGATCTTGTCACTAAAGAACGCGTAAACTTTGGACAATTGAACGAAGTTAACGGTGTCCTTGGATTAGGAGTTGTAAAGAAATATATAATCGCAGCAGTGAAAGAGCCTGACTCATCAAAGATGACTATGTTTGTAAGTGAGGACGGTAGGGACTGGGATAAGGCACTGTTTCCACATACTGTTGGGTTTGAGGAAAATGCGTACACTATACAGGAATCTTCAACGTATCAGTTGGTAGTAGATGTGCTTTCAGCGACGTCAGCAGATATCTATTCTTCTATGGGCACCCTGTTTAGGTCGAATTCTCACGGTAATAGATTCATGTACTCGCTAAACCATACTAATAGGAACATGGAAGGGTTGGTCGATTATGAAAAAGTGCAAGGAGTAGAGGGAATCGTGCTAGCAAACATAGTTGCGAATTGGGAGAAGGTTGCAGCTGGTGGTGTAATTGCTAAACAACTTCAATCGCAAATCTCATTTGACGACGGTGCAACTTGGCGATTTATTTCTCCTCCGAAGGATTCTTGTACAGACACTACAACGGGAAAATGCGCACTACATCTACATTCTGTTACTAGTCCACATAATTTTGGGCGTGTCTTCTCATCGCCTGGCGCCCCCGGAGTATTATTGGGAGTTGGTAGTGTTGGTTCTTTCTTGCTACCTTACGAGGACTGCGATACATTTGTGTCATACGATGGTGGGTTGAGTTGGCAGTTTGTAGCGGAAGGAGCCCATAAATATGAAATAGGAGATATGGGTTCACTGCTTGTGATCGTTGACGACGAGAATCCAACTTCAGAGATTAAATACAGCAGCGACCATGGAAAGACTTGGTTAGTTTGCCGTGTTCTCTTGACAAAAGCTTTTGCTATATTAACAACTATATCTAACATTTGCTTGGATTTTACAATAGGCAAAGCCGTAGCATTGGCCAGAAGGTTCGAGTGAGGATGCTTACAACCGATCCGGAATCCACTTCTGCCAAATTCTTGCTTTTCGGGTCCGTTATTGATCGAAACAATGAAAAGCCATACGTTATGATCCAGATTGACTTTTCTGATTTGTATCGAAAATGTGGAGATAGCGACTACGAAGAATGGTATGCGAGGAATAACATTGACGGGAACGGACCTGATTGTCTAATGGGTCAAAAGGTAATGTTATTAACATTTCATGTTGTTTAATAACAATGATATTTACCGAGCCGATTTCATTGTTTAGACGTACTACAAGCGACGTAAAGCCGATGCACAGTGTCTCGTCGGAAAGCCATTTGAGGATCCCAAACGCGTTGACGTTACCTGCCCTTGCACCGATGAAGATTATGAGTGTGATTTTAATCATGTGCTCACCAATAACGAATGCGTTCTTGTTGGACCACCGGACATCCCAAAGGGTGAATGTAGGGCGGCTGGCCAAACTTATAAAGCCTCTTCAGGATGGGTTAAAATTCCCGGAGATGTCTGCGACGGCGATATAGCCAAAGACAAGCCTGTTGAAAAACCGTGTCCTGGTTGGTGACTTTTGAACATCGTGATTGTTTAAGAGAGAATTTTTTTAGCTATTTACACGATGTTGCATTTACATTTCTTAACAGCCCCTATTGAAAGCCCAACCGGAGAGATCGTCACGACCAAAGTCGATGAAATTTTTGACAAGTTCTTTTACTTTAAATCGTCTACGGTAAGTGGTGGTTGTGTTCTTGATTGTTGAGTTTTTTACAGACTAACTCATCGTTATTGAATTTATTCGATATAATTTAATAGGTTATCATGGCTAGAACTTATGATGGCTATGTACTACGAAGCGAAGACGACGGCTCTACTTGGGAACGTGTAGCGAAACTCGAAAAGATATCCTACATGTTTATGGATAACCACGACGATGATATAGTCAGTTATCAATAAGTTTATGCGTTAAACCATTATATTTTATCAATTCAACTGATCAGACATCATGATTTGCCTTATTTACTTTTAGGCTTATTTCTTCCCTCTCTCATTGGACAGCGACAAGGTATATTACACTAACGATCAGGGTAAAACGATAAAAGAAGTTAATCTTCCCGGTACACCAAATAAACTCGGCATCGAATTGTTGAGTTTTCATGCTTCCGAAGACGATTGGCTATTGTTCATAGCCGAAAAGAATGAACCCGTATATCATACAGTTGCTTATCTAACAAAAAATAATGGCAAGAAATGGGAAGAGATTGAAACTTGGGTTGAGAAATGTATATTTGGCAATTCTGAAGATAATACGATCGACAAGGAAATGATATTTTGCTCAGCCTACGCCAATAAAAAGTCAGAGATTAGACAAAATCTCTTAGGTGGACGCTCATCTGCTGGAAATGTGTTGCAATTAGTTAGCATAAAAGGAAATGAGATTAAAGTATTGTTGAATGACGTAGTAGAGTTCTTTATGTTTAACGAATTTATGGCTGTCGCAGTGGTGAGTATTCACAATATATATGGTATAAAACATCAAAGAAACGAATCTCGCGCATTCAAAATAGGTTATTATGGCAAAATGTAGATTATTAATTTTGGTTTATGTCGTTTTTTTTTTTCAGGAATCAAACAACGAATTGATTCTATATATATCAAAAAATGGTGTAGACTTCAAACCAGCTGCTTTCCCGCCTGAAATTCATGTCAAGAAAGAGGCGTACACGATCCTCCAATCAACTACGGGCGCAGTATTTCTAGACGCTTTTCGATCCACTAAATTTGGAGCAGAATATGGCGTTCTATTTAAATCCGACGGAGATGGCACATCCTATTCTCTCAGCATGGAATTCACTAATCGTAATAGCTACGGAATTGTAGATTTTGAGAAAGTACAAGGAAAAGGATTGGAGGGTATTATTCTGGTCAATCAAGTTAGCAACACGAATGAATTGATTGGTGATGGTAAAAAGAAGATTATTACGAAAATCAGTCGTGATGACGGTGAGCATAATTTTCTTATAGTTTGACAGTCATATTGTTCCATTTATTTATTATATTTACTAATTTTTCTCGTAGGTGCAACTTGGGAGCGCATTCCTGCCCCCCAATTTGATAACAAACACATAAGACTTCCCACGTGTGCAAGTGTAAGCGAACAGTTATGGATTATTTATTCACTTAATTGTATCACCTTGGTTCGAATTAAAAACTATCTGTAATTTTTATCGTTTATTAGGATTGTTACTTAAACTTACACAGCCGTACGGAAATCTCTGGTCCTGGTGCAATCTTCAGTGCTTCATCTGCTGTAGGTCTTTTAATGGGTGTCGGCAATGTCGGACCATATCTACTTCCATACAACGAATGTAACACATATCTCAGCAAAGATGCCGGTCATACTTGGGTACAAGTTAGACTAGGCGAAAGTTTGTATGAATTTGGGGATCAAGGCACAGTTATAGTTGTTGTCGACGATGAGGGACCTACAAAGGAAATCTTGTACAGTTGGGATTATGGCGAATCGTGGGCGCCGCACCAATTCTCAGAAAAGCCGGTTCGGGTGACTCTTTTAACAACTAATCCTAAATCAACGAGTCTTAAGTTTCTTTTGATGGGAACTTACCGCGAATCGGATAATGTTGCTAAGCCAGTTGTTTATACTATTGATTTCTCCCAATTGGAACCGAGGAAATGTATGCTGGCACGAAATTAATTTTCTGTTGTTGTTCATTACATTATTTATTAATGTAAATATATTGTTATAGGCAAACTCGAGGATAATCTATCAGACAGTGATTTCGAATTATGGAGTCCATTAGGAGATACTGAAAAATGTCTATTAGGAAAAAAGGTAAAGTGAGCACTGACTGTTTATGCTTTGTTTCGCAATATTGCTCGATAATACAAACACGTTTGTTTTTTAGACAAAATATTATCGACGCAAGGCTGACCGTCAATGCAAGATTGATCATCAGACAGAGCTAAACACAAAAGTAGAAAAATGTCCATGTCAAGATAATGATTTCGAATGGTTAGTTATTCGACCTTATTTTGTTAGATACAGTCAACCGAACACTGTTGATAGGATTCTAACTATTGAAACCGAATACTGTTACAGTGCGCATAACTACTGGCGAAATAGTGACGGCAAATGCGAACTATACGGATTTGATTATGATCGTCCTGATAACTGTGAGAAGGATTATCAGGGAAGTTCTGGTTATCGCAAGATATCGAAATCAGTATGTGAGGGCGGTAAAAATCTTGAAGGAAAAGTCACAAAGCCTTGTGGCGATCGTAAGTACTTAATCTTGATTGCTGTTCTGATGCTTCAATAACTTTCTAATGCCACTATATACCTTGCGATGGACAGACGCCGGTATTATTGTGAAGCAGGTGAGATTATGGGTCTTCGTTTTTTTGACATTGCTAGCTGCTTTTAAGCACTATATACTAAAGTTACATCTGTATTATAATAGACAATTTTCGATTCGCGTATGGCAGAATATTTCTATTTCGAGGGAAACGACATCGTTATTATGCGTACCACAGATGGCAAAGTTTTCCTAACAGAAAACCAAGGCTACACTTGGGAGGAAAAAATTAAGGAAGTGAAGATAAACAGAATTGCTCCACACCTGTATGACAAAAAGCGAGCTTACTTCATCTCACTGTCGAAAACACTCTATTACACTAAGGATATGGGGAGTACGATCGATGAAATTACACTTCCAGCAGAACCAAATACGCTAAACGTCCCCGTACTTGCATTCCACCCGACGCGAAATGATTGGCTAATCTTCATTGGGCAAGAAGGATGTGACAATATACTCTCACCTACGTGTCATACGGTAGCATATTACTCACTAAACCGTGGTGCGAATTGGAACCAGTTTGATACCTATGTTGGCACTTGTATATTTGCTCCCGAGGCGTTCAAAGATCCAGATATGGCATTCTGCGAATCGTATCGCGATAAGGCAGGGACGCAACGTACCTTTGGGAATACACTGCAACTTGTATCGTTTAATTTATTTAAAGACAAGAAGGTTCTTACTCAGAATATAGTTGGAATTGCAACAGTGGAAGAGTATATGGTCATTGCTGAATTAGTTGAAGACGGTCAGAGTCTTCGATTATTGGTTACTGTTGATGGAAAGCAGCTTGCACCAGCAGACTTTCCACCCAATATGAAAATGACCAATCACGTAAGTCCAAGTTGATAGCCATTCGTGTATACGTTAATGAGTTATCAATTTACCCTATTCAATCCATCTCAGGCTTTCACAATTCTCGAGTCAAAAACGCACGCCATCATGCTTCATGTGACCACAGAATCACGTCGTCAGAACGAATGGGGTAGCATACTTAAATCCAATTCTAACGGCACCTATTTCAGACTCTCTCTCCCATATGTCAAGCGAGATGATCGCGGATATGTTGACTTTGACAAGATGCAGGGAATTCAAGGAATTGCTCTCGCGAATATTGTCAAAAATCCTGATGAAGTTAATCTAGGGGGAGAAAAACAAATTGCCAGTAAAATTACATACAATGATGGTAAGTCCTCTGATGTGTTTTTTCTTTCTTTCTAACACACTACTTACTATTTGTATTTTCTCCGGTATAGGCGGAGATTGGCATGATATCAAAAGTCCCGAAGCGGATTCTAATCGAAAGAAATATGACTGCGTATGTTTACTTTTTACTTTGAAATTTGAAATTTGTGACGATTAACTGAAGTATATTCTAATTTTAAAATTTTTCAGAAGGATCAATGTAACCTTCATCTACACAGCTTTACAGAATGGAGAGATCCTCGTGACACTTTCAGCGCTTCATCTGCAGTCGGTCTAATGATGGGCGTTGGCAACGTTGGCGGTTATCTAACTCGATACGAAGACGGTGACACGTTCTTGACGCGTGATGGAGGCGTTACATGGGAAGAAGTTAAAAAAGGTGCTCATCTACATGAAATTGGTGACCAAGGCGCTATTCTAGTCGTCGTAGATGATGAACAAGCTACAGACAAAGTATGGTATTCATTTGATGAGGGCGATTCGTGGCATTCGTTGATCATCACATCGAATGGTGAGCGTGTTAGAGTGAAAGACATTGCTACTGTTCCTGGCGGTACAAGCAGAAGATTCCTACTATGGGGTCATGTGATTGGAGAATATAGTAAAGAGATAGCAGTGCATCTTGATTTTGCTGGATTGCTTGCACGAAAATGTGAATTAGATATCAAGAATGCCGATAACGATGACTTTGAGCTTTGGACTTTGAAACGACCAGACGGTGAATCTTGTGTGTTCGGCAGAGAAGTAAAGTACAACAGAAGAATACGTGGTCAAAAGTGCTATATTGGAAGCGAAGTCATACAACCAAAGGAGGTGGTCAAGAATTGCACATGCACAGACTATGATTTCGAATGGCAAGTAGAAAGAAATGCGTTTACATTTATTATTTTGAACATGTTTTTACTGACTTACTTATAATTATGTTTTAGTGAATACAATTACCTTCGTAATCCTGAGACCAACAAGTGTGAGTTGGCACCAGGCACTTCCCCAATAACCATTGATATGAAAGAACAATGCTCCAAGTCAGACTATTACTACGAGAAAATAACAGGGTGAGTTTAGAAATATCCGGTCACATTATCTACGACGGGTGGCATAATTTATTAATGAATGATCTTTTCATAGTTATCGCAAGATTCCCATTTCGCAATGTGAAGGTGGTGAAGATAAACGCGGTCCACGCAGACGATGCCCAGGAAAAGGTTATTCTGCAGGCACATGGTTCCTGATTATCCTTTCGCCATTTGTTGCTGCTGGCGCATTCTTAGCGTACGTCCTCTATAAACGTCGTGGAAGATACGCTACATATGGGTAAGTGATGGACTCATCCTAGTCATTCTATTCGACAAGTGTTCAAAATGTGTCTAACATATGCCCTCAAATGTAATTTCATAAACAGCCAAATAAGACTAGGAGACACGCCCAGTTCCAGCTTGCTTGAATATATATACACAGTTCCTATCACGATTCTCGATCTTATATTATCAATTCGTATACCCGAGTTCATCTCTCGTCGTATGCCCGACATTCCGCTATTTGGTTCTGGCGGGGCACGGTCACGCACCAGCCATCAATATACGCCAGTAGCGCAGGACGAGGACCCGCATGAAGTGTTAATGGATGATTACGAGAATGATAATGATGAATGATAGTAGATAATACTGTTACGTACGTTACGGAAAATTATGTGATGACGGTGATATAGAATTTCTGTACGTTTATTTTCCTCAAGTCAAAATGTAATAAACTTGATTGTGTTCAAACGAAGAAGCGTAAAATGTCAGACTTTCTGGATGAATATACGTTGGCATTGTATAAATTTTGGTATAACGACAATTTTGGTCTGTAGACATCTTTTTACTCTAGCATACAATTATCCTCTCTGAGCTATAATACCGTACTAGTGCCATTTTTGTAAGATCACGAGATAGCCAAAATAAAAACGCCAATTAAAATCAACAAATACTGTACCTTAATCTCTGTACGTCCCCGGCCTGCTGTTAGCGCTCTTCCCATTCGTTCAAATGGTGCGTCTTTCATAAAACTCTGTTTTTTATGATTGCATGACCTTTATTTGTTATCTGCTGCGTTTTTATAATTTTTATCGTTTTATTTGTCTATTTAGTGCCTCGAAGATATTTGACTTTGAAGCCTCCGAACGAAGAAAAATTATCCTCAGACATCGAAATTAAAGTATATATATATACCACAATAAACGCTGTTTGCGTTATAGCTAACAATTAATCGCATAAGTAATAATTGATTGTTGAACCAGTACACCGCTTGAATGAGTTGTATGGTATGTAAATACATGTATCAACAGCAAAAAACATTGCTAGCACCCAGAAACCACCAAAGACACCAATTTGACACAAGACGATGTAAAAAGTGTTATTTACATAATAATAATAGATATTAATCTAACTGTCCAATTCTGCAATTCTTTCGAAATGGTCTCCTTTAACCAGTATACAACGTCTCGGCTTTCTACACCAACTCTGAAAGTACTCGGAACACTCTACTTGTGATACGCTGTTGTTAATTTTAGAACTCTTTAATTCTCTTAAGACGCTTTCCGTTAATTTTTGGAAATGAGCCAGATCAGGCTATTCTATTAAGAGGGTATGGAAGCAATACGACTCCCCTTCCCAAAGATGCTTGGTGACTTTAACTTTTGTGACGCTTGCATCGTAAGTACGCGAAGGAACCCGGTTTGGCACATTCCAGCGTAACTTTTTGAACTCACCTGTTACTTCTCAAAATAAATCTCTGGATCGAAAATTCCTTGTAAATATCTTCAGTGTCAATATCCAAATGATAAGCAAATCTGTTGTGTTGTATAAAGAAGACATGGTTTATGGTTAGCTCATATGTTATAATATCAACTGTAGCACAATATCGTTGACTCGTAAATGTTAAATTTGGGTCCGTATTAGTATCATTTCACCGAAAATCATTTCACCGACGTAATATTTCACCGACAACCATTTAGCCGAAAATCATTTCATCGAC